TGCTCTCCCTCATAGCACTTTCACCCATGATTCAGAGCACTTCTCCATTTCCCCATGTAATATTCTGGAACTTATAATCAGTGCCACTTCCAATGATTAATCCCCAGAATATTCAGACGCCAGTTAAACCAGTTAAGATTTATATTGATACAGTACATGTACCCAACATAAATCTAGTCTACATTTATTGTTCTTAAGCTTCAGTACCTTTTACTCAACTAATCCACAGTATTCATAGCCTTGCTGAATATTCCCATCAACAATACCTGTTAATCTTCAACTAATTTTTTTAAAGCTTAATAGGTATTGTTAGCCAATTCACTTTTGGGAATAACCAAATCAATCCCAGGTGAGTCTTAGTACCCTGGATGCCTATTAATACCTTGTATTGATCCGGATGCGCTGTTGATAGCAAGCCTCTCAGTAAAGACCATACTGATAGAGTGAAACCTCCTCTCTACAGGACTGGTATTAATCACCCACTACCTAACACTCACCACGCTCAAAAACTTCATTCAACTCATAGTAACAACCTTTTACTACTAAACACGCAGGTTAGTTACCAAGAGGCTGGCACACCAGGTGGTGCCAGATGCCAGTTTTTTGGCAAAAAAGGGGCAGTAACCGGGTACCGCTATGGGGTACCGCCCATTCCCACCTGGCAAGAATTTGAAAAGGCTCTCATTGGGAGGGTTTTCTCCCGAAAAGATGTCTTTAAATCTAGCTCATTGGGAGGTTTTCCTCCCAATGAGCTGATCTTAAGATCATCAGGAGGAAACCCTCCCAATGAGCTTAACATCAAGATCATCAGGAGGAAACCCTCCCAATGAGCTGATCTTAAGCTCATTGGGAGGAAACTCTCCCATCCCAATGAGCTGGACTGTGTACCAGCTCATTGAGAGAAACCCCTCCCAATCAGGAGGAAAACCTACCAATGAGCTGGACCGTGTACCAGCTCATCAGACGGAAAACCTCCCAATGGGCTGGACTGTGTACCAGCTCATTGGGAGGAAACCCTCCCAATGGGCTGGATTCAAAACCAGCTCATGACCCTCACAATGAGCTGGTGATTTGTGTGCCAACTCTTTTGAATGAATTCACCATCAATCCTACCTGGAAACCAAAGAAGAAGGAGCTGCCGGACTTGTCAACTTGTTATGCTCCCTTCAAATCCCCTATCCACCAAAAAATCTTAACTTCTATTGCCAATCTAAGTAATCATCTCCTTGCTAAAAATTTGTCCAAAAACTCTAACTAGGTTGGTCAATCTGTCCAACATCTCTTCTACTCTCTGGTGATGAGTTAGCTTTACTAAGACAATTGTCATCCGTTTTTTTTGTTCATTCATCACAGGTCAAAAACTGACTATCGAGAAGCATTCCAAGATTTGGGATTGTTTCAGGATCAGAGAGTTAAAAGTATTACCTAGCTCTCTCATTGCTTTTTATTTGTAGACACATGTTTTCTTGTTTTTCAGTGATGACTGTTGTTGTTATTGTTTTTGTGATATACAGAGTGTTATAAATGTTAAAAATTTTTGAGAATAAAACATCTAATGATAATCACTTGATCCAATATAACCATTAACTTCAAGTATATGTTGTAAATACTTCACTCGTAATGCTACTACCAAACCAAAAGCTTTATAAGGGCTATGTTCTCATTGATTAAACATAAAAAAAACATAGAAATAAAGAAAATAATTGAAGAAAGGTGACAGTTGAAGAAAGGGAGGTGCGGAAAACACAATGAAGGCTAAACTTGAAAGAGAAAAAAA